AAATAGAATAAATCTAAAAAATAAAACCTTTCTACCTAGGTGGTGGGGGTGCACACCTTTGATCCCAGCACACAGGAAGCAGAGGTGGGTGGATCTCTGTGATTTCGAGGCCAGCCTGGTATACAGATCAAGTTCCAGGACAACCAGGGCTACATAGAGAAACCCTATGTCAAAACAACAACAAAAACAAAAAAACCCACACACACAAAAAAACCTCTGTCTCAGCCATCTTCCATAAAAGAGACAAATTTCGAAAATAAATAGTAATTTGAGGACAAGATAGCAAAGTACATGATAAATACTGTACCTGTATCTGTATATCATTTTAAAACAAAGATACTAGAGGGGTACAGTTCCGCACACCTGTAAACCCAGCACTCAGGAGGCAGAGGCAAGAGGATAGCCATGAGTTCAAGGCCAGCCTGATGTACAAAGTGAGTCCAGGATAGCCAAGACTACACAGAGAAACCCTATCTCCAAATACCAAACCAAACCAAACCAACAACAACAACAAACCAAAACGAGAGACTACCAGTGAGATGACTACATGAGTAACGTTGCTGATAACCTAAGTTCGATTTCTACAATCCACATAGAAGAGAACTGATTTCTGGAAATTTAATTAGATCCCCACATGCATGTCATGTCGTGAAGGTACATACCTACATATTTACACACTCAAGAAAAGAAAAAGATATTTACAGCCCTTAAAACACTCTGTTCCAGCTGGGTGTGGAGGCACACACCTGTAGTCCCAGCACTCTGGGAGGCAGAGGCAGAGGCAGGGGGATCTCCGTGAGTTCAAGGCCAGCTTGGTCTACAAAGTGAGTCCAGGACAGCCAAGGCTACACAGAGAAACCCTGTCTCAGAGAAAAATAAATCTTTTAAAAAACCAATCTACTCCCTCACATGCATATCATGTATATACACAAAAACCATGAAATTTAAAACTAAAATTATTGAAAATGACCCCTAGATGGAATTGTTACTTCTTTAAAAACAAAACAACGAAAAAAGGGGGGGCAGGGTTGGAGAGATGGCTCAGTAGTTAAAAGTACCTACTGCTCTTTTAGGGGACCAGGAGACTAGGGTTCAGTGGTCAGCACTGAATACTGAGTGGCTTATAGCTGCCTTTAGCTTCAGGCCAAAGGGTCCAATGTCCTCTTCTGGACTTTACAGGACTCTGTATGTCCAAGATGAGCATACACTCACTCAGGTATATACATATATAATTATGAAATTCAAAAATAAGAAATTATTTAAATTACTTAAGAAAAGGAGCAGCAGCAGCAGCTAGGTGAATGTTTCTCCTTGATCCCAGCAGAGGGAGGCAGAGGCTGGTACATCTCTGTGAGGTGAGTTCAAGCCTGGTCTACAGAGCTAGCTCCATAAAATCCAGGGGTACACAGAGAAACCTTGTTTGAAAAAAGCAAAAACGAGCTGGGTGAGGTGGCACTTGCTTTTAAATCAGCACTTTGAAGGCAGACCCACAAGGATCTGAGTTTGAAGCCAGCCTGATCTACAAAGTGAGTTCCAAGATAGCCAGGGCTACACAGAGAAACCCTGTCTTGAAAAACAAAAAATAAACAAAACGAAAAAAAAAAAAAAAAAACAAAAGGAGAGAGAGAGAGAAAGAGGAGATTCGATCTGAACAAAGCACAAAAGCACAAGCCCTTGAGTCATAAGAATAATAAACACTGCTTTTATCCTTCAGTCAGTAGAAGAACTGCATTCCACAAATGGAACCAACTATTAATTGCTTCTCCAGCTTTTCAGCTAAGTTCAAGTACATAACCAAACACTGTCTAGACAGGCTGGTCAATGAGTACCCTCAATGAATGGTTGATAAACATTGAAACTTAAACCTTTTTATTCATTCAGATCAGATTATTTTTATTTTTTAAAGAAGTTTCTATTTTGTTGTTGTTTTTAAAATTTATTTCTTTATTTTACATGAGTGCTCTATCTGCACATTCACCTGCAAGACAGAAGAGGGCATCAGATCCCAGTATAGATGGTTGTGAGCCACAATGTGGTTGCTGGGAATTGAACTCAGGACCTCTGGAAGAGCAGACAATGCTCTTAACCTCTGAGCCATCTCCTCAGCCCCCCCATTTTTTGGTTTTGGTATGTTTGAAAAGGGGTTTCTCTGTGTAGTCCTGTATCTTGGAACTTGCTGTGTAGACCAGGCTGGCCTCAGACTCGAGCTCCTCTTCCTGCCCCTGCCTACAAACTGCTGGGACTAAAGGTGTACATCACCACCTCCACAGATATTTTTTATACACATTTTGTTATTGAGACTGGCTCAAATTCCTCACTCAAGTGATTCACTCATTTTAGCCTTTGAAGTAGCTGCTACTACTATAGGCAAATCATTACCATGTTTTGCTCATAAAAACCTGGGTTTTTTGTTTACTAGTTGGTTAGTTATCTATGTGCATGTACACAATATGTGTGTTGGCATGAATGTCATGGCATACATGTAGAAGACAACTCTGTGGTGTTGGTTTTCCCTTTCCACCTTCACATGGGTTTCAGGGATTGAATTCAGGTCATAAGGACTTTTTTGAAAGTGTCAGTATCCTGAGTCATCCCACTGGCTTATAGATATGGTTTGATACATTAATGTCCTCTTGAACAGCTTATCATTTTTACCATGTTTTGTTACTTGTTTCTTTTGTCTCCTCTACTATATCTTATTAAATTATGTCCTTTCTTATTTTAAAAAATTGTGTGTGTGCATGAAGTATCTGCCATGGTGTGCATGTGGACGTAGAGGACAACCCTGTAGAGTTGGTTCTCTCCTTCCACTTTTTCATGTGTCCCAGGGATTAAACTCAGGTCACCAGAAATGCACAGCAAGAACAATTACCCACTGAGCTTTGAATTCGAGGACAGCCTAGACTGCACAGTGAGATGTTATGTGGAGGAAAAAAAGTGATACCTAGTAGGCAGAGTTTGAAATAATCCAAGGAAAACTGCCCTAGATTTTGACCTCCTTATGGACAGAATGCTTTTTGTGGTTAAGCATCCTTGTACTTGAATGAACTCAGGTTGTTCCCACTATATCAGAAACTAAGGCATCAGGACACTTTCCCATGTGTGAACTAATAAAGGGTCAGAATCACCACACCTGACTTCCTTATAACATCACTTACATTATGGGTTTTGTAGTACTTATTATCTTCTTTGTCTTTTACAGAGTATCAATGGAAGAAATACCTTAAAAGAGAGAATTAAACACCTTACTCCTATGACTATGTCACCAACCTCATCTTACGAAAAATGCACGTGTGGGGGCTGGAGAGCTGGCTCAGAGGTTAAGAGCACTGGCTGTTGTTCCAAAGGTCCTGAGTTCAATTCCCAGCAACTACATGGTGGCTCACAACCATCTATAATGAGATCCGGTACCCTCTTCTGGCATGCAGGCAGAATACTACATAAATAACAAATACATAAATAAATCTTTTAAAAACTGCATGTGTGTACTATTGTACACATTGTTTATGTGGGCAGGATTTGGGGTCTGGTTTTCTCCTTGCACCATGTGAGTTTTAAGGACAAAACGCAGGTTGCCAGGGTTGACAGCCAGCTTTTACTTGTTCAGCCATCTCATTACCCTTATTTAATTCATGGTGCTCCCTGCTTTGAGGCAACTCACTCTCTTTTGAGTATTTTTTTTTAAATTTATTTATTTATTACTTATATATGATTCTGTCTGCCTGTACATGTGAAGGGCAGAATGAGGCACGGATCTCATTCTAGATGGTTGTGAGTCACCATGTGGTTGCTGGGAATTGAACTCAGGACCTTTGGAAGAACAGGCCAGTGTGCTTAACCCCTGAGCCATCTCTCCAGCCCCTCTTTTGAGTATTTAACTAAACTCCTGCTTAAACCATATGTGACTCAATTTTGTTTATTGAGACATGGTCTCCTTACATAGTCCTGAAACTCACCATGAGCTCAGACATCCCCTTGCCTCTGCCTCCTGAGTGCTGAGATCAAAGGTGTGTGACACTACGCTGGATAATTTTCTTACCCTCGATGTTCTACAGTTTCCTAACACTGAGCCCAGATGATTATTCATTTTCAACTGTCCTGCTTGTCACTTACCATTCAGGTCTTTTCTGAGTACGTGTCTTTTTTGTTTTGAACGTATTCAAGCACCATGTTAAATCCAGTATTAGTGAAAAAAAAAATCCTATTTTTTTGAAAACAGTGTCTTATGATATCGCCGAGTTATGCATCTAGAAATAAGCAGAGGTAATTTGGGATTCACATCCCATAAAGTAACAGTCTGAGGGAGTGGGAGCACTGCTCTCATGCAGTATAGTTAACTGGGCATGAAAGCCAGGTGGGGAACTCTGTGGCAAACACTCAGTTTTGAAAGCTGTCATGTTAAAGGCATGCGGACCAGAGAGATGGTTCAGCGGGGAACTTGTGGCATATGTATATCCCCCCCCATCATGTATGTACATTATAATCAATAGGTTTTTTTTAATGTATACAATGTTCTGCCTGCATGCACACCTGAACACCAGAAGAGGGCACCAGATCTCATTATAGATGGTTGTGAGCCATCATGTGGTTGCTGGGAATTGAACTCTGGACCTCTGGAAGTGCAAGCAGTGCTCTTAACCTCTGAGCCATCTCTCCAGCCCATAATAATAGTTTTTGAAAATACAAATAGGCTGCCTTCCAGATGCTGTTCTGGATCTGTCAGCACCACACGCACAGCAGCTGGGCTGTGTCCATGACATTTTAGCAAAGAGCAAGTGGCTGTTTCTACAATCAGTTTTCAGAAACCAGTAAGCACTGAGAATGTTTTACAGCCTGACATTTCATGGGGGTGGGGCAGGCAAGATGTTACTCATCTTTAATTCCAGCACCAGGGAGGCAGAAGTAAGGTGTACCACATCCCACTCAGCTTGGGCTCTGAAACCCTGGCTTCAGGCAGGGAAGAAATGAAGATAGACACACAGACATAGGCACAGGGAAGCTGGGATGAGGTGGGCTTCTGGACCCCCATCATGTTTATTAGGTAGAGCATAGGGGGATGGGTTGGCTGGTCTTGGTAGGACGTCTCTATGAACAAGCAGTTGTAACCACACGGGGGAAGCTGTAGTTGCTGTAGTTTGCACATACTCACACTTGGACCCTTGAGGAAAGCTTTGCCAGTTCCCAAGCTTCACTTTGGCACTTCCGTGGGGCTGAGGCTTTGGAGTCCTTGCCTATGTCAATAGTACACATTTACTCAGAGCTTCTTCCATTCCCTATACAGGTAGTTCTCTTAAGTTCAAGGTCACTCTGGTCTCCAATATAATGATAACCTGTCTCAAAAAAAAAGGGTAGGGAGCTCGGGAATGTTTAGCCTAGCGATAAAACGCACTTAAGCGGCTTAACTAAGATGCTCGGGCTAATCTCTGGTCTGAAAATAAAGTAGGATGGTGGAGGAAAGAGGCAGGTGTGATGATGCCTGTAGTCTCACCAGCCCTCAGTTCTTAAGAGTCTGGTAGTGGGGCTGGAGAGATGGTTCATTGGTTAAGAGCACTGTCTGCTCTTCCAGAGTCCGGAGATCAATTCTCAGCAACCACATGGTGACTCACAACCATCTATATTGGAATCTGATGCTCTTTTCTGGCATCCATGTGTACATTCAGATAAGAGCGCTCATACACTAAATAAGTAAATAAAATTTTTTAAAAGTTCGGTAGTGTAGTTCAGTAATAAAGTGGATGCTGAAGGACACCACAAATAAATAAAATACAAACTTACAATTATTTCTGTGTGTGTGTGTGCACCACAGCATCACCTACGTAGAGAGCAAAGGTACTTTATCAATTTGGTTCTTTTCTTCTGCTATGTGGGCTCTGGTGATTGTTTTGCTGGCCCATTTTTAATTTTGTGGTTTTTCGAGAAAGGGTTTCTCTGTGTAGACTTGGCTGTCCTGGACTCACTTTTGTAGACCAGGCTGACCTCAAACTCACAGAAATCCACCTGCCTCTGCCTCCCAGAGTGCTGGGATTACAGGCATGCACCATTGTGCTCAGCTAATACTTGTCTTTTTTTTTTTTTTTTAACATTTATTATGTGTATGAGCATTGTGCTTGCCTTTACCAATATATACGATGTATAGGCAGCACCGATGGAATTGGAGCTACAGAGGGTTGTTAGCTTTGATGTAAATGCTAGGAATTGAACCTGGGTCTTCCAGAAGAGCAAGTGCTCTTAACTGCTGAGCTATCTCTCCAGCACCCTCTCCCTGCTTTGTTGAGACTGTGCTCTCTATGTAGCCCAGGCTGGCCTCAAACTTGTAGCAAACGAGGGTTGAACCACTACCCCATTCAGAAACTTTTCTCTAAATCCTGCACATTTATTCAACCTGATGGCCACAGTGAACTATTGTTTTGTTTTGTTCTTGACAATTTGACACAAGCTAGAGCCATATGGTTAGAGAGAAGCATAACTGAAAAACTGCCCTCACCAGACTGACTTATAACAAGCATTTTTTTTTTTTTTTTTTTTTAATGATTGATGTGGGCAGTGTGGAGGTTTTGAAAGAGTGCCTCCCCTGGGGGAATATGGAGCTCTGGGTTGTACAACTTATATGAGCAAGCCATGAGAATTAAGCCAGTAAGCAACGGTTCCTCCATGGCTTTTGCTTCAGTTCCTGACCAGACTTCACTCAGTGGCAGATTGTGACCTATAAGATGAAAAAAATCTTTCATCCCCAAGCGCTTTTGGTCATGGTATTTTTACAATAGCAAACCTAAGACAATGGCAGATCCACAACAGCCTAACTCCAGCTCCAAGAGATCTGACGGCATGTCACCTGGCACACACCCACACTCATACACACAATACTTTTGTTGGTTTGTCTCTTTTTAAGTACGAGCTGTGGTACTAGTTCTCCAAATACCACGAAAGGGCGCATCCTGAAATACTGTACCTACAGCTGTGAACGACTGAGCGATGCCACTGAGTTTCCTCTACTGAAGGCAGATTCCACTGAACCCATGCTTCATTCTGATCAGAGCATAAGCATGAAAATCCCCTTTCCTCATCCTTGAGCGATGCCGTGGCCTAGGCTCGCAGTCGCCCCTCTCTCCCCCCCCCCCCCCCCAACCCCTACAAGCCATCAGCAAGCGCTACCCTGTCCTTTCCCTGGTATAGTTTGTCTCTGTGAAGCAATATCGCTCACCTCCCTAAAAGTGCGGAAGGCCGAGGGGAGACGCAGGAAAGAAAAGACACAACACAGAGCTGCGGCTGGGAATAGTGAGACAAACCAGAGGTGGCCATCCGTCCCCAGCTCCCACCGGCTCCCACGGAATAGGCCGCGCGGGTCCCCGGCCGCTCCGCCGGAAGTCCCGCCTGTGTCTGGGGATACAGCCGCGCGTCCTCCGGCCAGTGCCCGGGTACAGGCTCAGACTGGCCATCTCGCGCCGTGAACTCAGCACTACAGCCTAGGAAGCAGAACGCCTCGCGAGCCCCTAAGAAGCGGCACCCACACAGGAGGCCAGGCGAAAGGCGCAGGGCGAGTAGCGCCGGGGCCGCAGGCGGGACTTCCGCCTCGGGACCCGGAAGGGACTGCGCCGTCGCTGGTGGGAGTTGTAGTCCGGCTGTGGTTGGGGGGGCCCGCGGCTCATGCGCCGTGCACCGAGGCTTGTTTCACATCTGTAACAACAGGTGAATTGGGGTTTTTATTCTACCCTTTCGCGCCCCTTGAAGCAGCCTGACACGGTCGGGGGTGGTCTGCGCGAGGAGGGGTCCCGGGTCCGGCCGGCGGCTTGGCGGAGAGTGGGAAGGAGTAGCTGGCGAGCCTGAGGAGCAGGCCGGGCATCCTAGGCCTGCCCGGGAAGCTGGCCGGGCCGAGCCGTGGGCAGCCAGGCCTCGGCCTGCCGTTGCCATGGAGCCGGGGCGGGGCGGGGGCCAGACCGGTCCGCCGGGGCGGGCCTCGCTGCCAGGGGTTCCGAGGAGGCCGAGAGAGGCGGCTTCATTGGCGCGACGACGCCTTCGCCTCAGGGGATGCTCGGTTTTCCCTAGGCTGGGCCTGGAGGAAGTCTCCGGAGTGCCCCGAGACCTTTGTCTGCCCCTCCTTCCACTGTGCGGTCTGGACCGTTCCTCCAAGAGGAGGCCTAATGCATTTTTTTTACTCCTCTGGATTGCCCCTTTTGCACCGACCTTGTCTGTGGGGGAGCCTAAGGGGTGAGGTGTTCTTTGTTTGCTGGTGCTTGACTTGTCCCATTTTGCAGAGGAAGACCTAATGCATGGTGGGTTCTTTGTTTGCAGTGGAGTCCCAGGAGTCCTCAAAATCCTCAAGCTAAGAGTACAGCGTCAACACTCTTTTTAGATAGTCCTTGTGTAAACAACATTGGTCATTTAATTTCGACTTTCCAATGCAGAGACTGTTCACTTTACAACCCCAGTTCCTGGGTGTTTGCCATGCACTGTAGCAGGTAGACTGCAGCAATCTGGTTGCAAGGTCTCAACCTGGTTTTGGATGCAACCTACTGGCCAGAATGAAATTATACATTATCTGATGATTTCCCTTGCGGTTTCTTGGAAGGCAGTGACTCCACTGCCATGTGCCATGCAAGGCTTGACTACATCTTATAATTTACACTTAAATCCCAGAGTCTTGACACTTCCAGGTGGGAAGACCCTTTCCTGATTTTATATACCTATGTATACATGTATGTAAAATATTGTGTATATATGTACACCGTATATACATATATGCATGTAATTATTTAGATTTATAATAATGCTTTTTACTTGTACATTTATATATTCTTTGCCAAAGTTTATATCTATGTAAGCCTACTCCACCCGACTCCCAAAGATCATAACTTTCCAAGTATTTTCATTTATGAAGCTATATGTAGTCCGAAATTTTATCAGCTTTTGGACTGTGCTTGTCCTGAATCATGAATGAACATGATACATTGAGATTACAGGTTGATATGTAAGAAAAGTAGTGTAATATGAACATGTAAAACCATGATGTTCTTATTCCATTCTTTCCTGATGCTATGGGATCCTGGGTAAGTTGTATGTCTGCCCTTCAGTTTCCTCTGGGAAAGAAGATTCTTCCCAGGGGAGTTGCAGGGATTATATGAGGTCAAGTCTATGGACGTTTATTGTAAACTGTGAAAATGTATTTGAGATTATTATGATTGTAATTTTCCCAGTCTGGAAGTGTCATTTTAGATAAATTGATATTATAGATATTATGGGATTAGAAAAGTGAATGAGGGTTTGCTCTGGGCTTGGAGAACACATTTTCTTATGGATGCTCTGTGGGAAATTTCACATTTAGTTGGTCTAGGACAGGTTGGGGACCCATTGAGTGAGGCTATCATATAAAAAACTTGTTAATGTTAGTAAGTTGATTTATATGATGGTACAGTTTTGTCTCTCAGGGGGATTGCCACTCCAGTGACCTTACATTATATTTTCTAGGAGGAGGCCCAGCCTCGTGATGAGGAATAGCAAGGAGAGAATTCAACTCCAGTTCAAAAGCCTGCAAAATCTGGGCCCCTCCCTGCTTTTATAAGGTAAGGTGACTTTGCCCTGCTTATAGAGCAGTGGTGTGAATTTGCACAGCCACGCCTTAAAGCATGTGGTTGGTTCCATTTGTGGTCCTCTTAGGAGTATCGTTCATTATTATTGGTTCGGAGCCATCACATAGTCAGTCTACTAGAAGTTGTGTTTCCTCATAGAAGAAATTTGACATATTAGAATTTATATGTCTCTATAAATTTTATTAGAGTCATTCTAGTATTTTAAAAAACGTTACCGCAACACAAGGGAAGCATGTTTCTTTTGGAGCTCTGTGAAATGTTCTAGAACATGATAAAGTGAGATGATTTAATATCTTTTTTTTTTTTTCCGAGAGAGAGGGTTTCTCTGTGTAGCCTTGGCTGTCCTAGACTCACTTTTATAGACTGGGTTGACCTTAAACTCACAGAGATCCACCTGCGTCTGTCTACTGACTGCTGGGTTTACAGGCGTGTGCCACCATACCTGACTGGTTTGATATCATGAATGTCATATTTTTTGAGATGAGACAGGATAAGACTGTAGTAGATGAAACTTGATTGGCAAAGAGAGGATCCAGCTTACGTGAGTAAGTGGCTGATATTATATTTAAGTATTCTCTCTTGACTGCACGTATCTTACTGGCTGAAATTTGCAGCATCCCTGGGGGAGAGGCGGTCGTGCTATGAATTTGAAAGATTAGGCCTTTCACTCCCCTCATCCCCACAAGTTGAAAATGAAAGGGAATAGCAGTCAGGAACCTCCTACTCTCCTACCAATGTTGGACATTAACCTAATGTGCAAAACATTACATAGATGTGTAAATTTAAATATAGTAATCCAGGAGTGCTATTACTAAAAAAGATCTCTTAAGTACAAGTTTGAGTATTTTACAAAACAATATTACTAAATTATGAGTCTTACTTTTTCCTGTAATCTCTAGATAGAGTCCCCAGTTAAATGAATTAATAAAAGATAGGCATTGTGGTACACGCTTATAATTCCTTCATTTGGGAGGTGGATGCAGGAGGATCAGAGTTCAGAAAAATGAAGCAAATAAATAAAAAATTAGAGGAAAAAATGTACTAATAAGTAGAATGTGTTAAAATAGTGCATACCTGTAATCCCAGTGCTCAGTGAGCTGAAATAGGAGGTCATGTCCCTGCCTCAGGAGAATAAAAGAAAAGCATCAAGGCTTCTAGCCAGTAGCTGTGGTATTTATAATTTCTTATTAATAATACAATTGACAGTTATTACTTAGAAATTTATCATTCATTTTATAGGGACTCCACCATAAAATAAATTTTAATTCTGAAACTTTAATATGGTTACTTTTTGATATTGTCAGTCAACTCTCATTCCAAAGGGCTCAGCTAGTTTTTTGAAAGCCCAATAGCCCAGTTTGTCCTAAGTCCTCAGTCATTTTTCCTGAGGCCACTTGCAATAGGAGGTACATACGGAACTTAGTTTCTTCTTGGAAAGTCCAAGAAAATCTGCCAGTGCTGTAACTGGGTAGTCCCTGCATGTCTTGACACATGTCTATTGCTTTCTGTTTAACAGGCTTAGGGAGTTTAAGAACAGCAACGAGAAGAAAGCTGTCAGGTAGAAAGCAGCAAGCAGACAGGGTTTCTCTGTGTAGCCTTGGCTAGAACTAGCTCTGTAGACCAGGCTGGCCTCAGACTCCCAGAGACCCTCCAGCCTTTGACTTCCGAGTGCTGGGATTAAAGGCAGGTGCTTCGGATTCTTAAGCCTGGGGAGCAGCTGTGGGGCTCACTGGTTCATAGCTTCATTTCCTTTTTCTTTTGGCTAATGTCTTGTGTTCTTGTACCCTTGCAGTCTTTGCAGATTCTTGAACCAGGAATAGTAATCAACATTCATGGCCTTTTGACCCTCCTTCTCAGGATTCCAGCTTTCTCTCCTGGCCAGAAATGTTCAGCCTGGACTCATTCAGAAAAGGTAAGAATGGACTCTACATGTGATTCCAAGCCTCCACGTGACTGGCCACTGTGAAGGCTGTGAGCTCCTGCCCTTTGCAGTCCTCTAACCCTCTCAGGGTAATTTCCCAAAACCTTTACCTTGCCTACCTTCGCTCAGAACCCGCCTTGCCTCTTGTCCTGGCTTTGTGCATGCTTCCTCCCTTCTCTCCAAATGCTCCTTCCTGCTTATCCATTGCTTATCAAAATCCTTCCTGGTTTCCTTTTTCCTTTTTCGTCTGTGTGTGTATGTGTGTGTGTGTGTGTGTGTGTCTGTCTGTCTGTCTGCCTGCCTGCCTGTGTCTGTGTCTGTGTGTATATAGCCCTGTCTTGGAGCTAGGTAGTGATGGGATTAAAGGTGTGTGACACCACTACTGACCAAAATGTTCAAATTGTATTTATTTATTTGTGTATGTGTGTGTATAAAAACTGAACAAGGCTCTCATCTTTGTGTGTTTTACAAATAAATTAGAACCAGAACAGAATTTCCTTCGCTGTTGATTAAGTAGATCCTCCCAGTTGTCTGTGCTTTGTGCTATGTTGATAGAGGCTGGGAACCTCTAGCCAAGTGGTGACCTGTGTGATCTACTGAATGGAGCCAGGTGGAGGGCCAGTGTACCAGGACTGTGAACAGCTTCTTCTTGCCTCTATGAAGACATGAGTATCTTCAGTCACTCTGTTTTCACAGAGGCTGAAAAAGTTGACCTTTTTTTGAGATAGAGCAAGTACTAAGAAGAGAAAGATGGAAATGGAGATTAGTGTAGACAAAGCATAAATTTTTGAGTTGAAAACCTAGTGGCATTTATATATGTCTTTTCAGTAACCTCTGGGTTTTGTTATCTACTGAGCTATAAAAAGTGGGTGACCTGAGTTCTTTTGTGGGAGGGATTTCTGAAAGCACAGGTTTTGTGAAGAAAGGAAGAGCCTGGTATTATTTAACACTTCTTATTTTGAGAGTCCCACAGCTCAGACGGGCCTCAAACTCACTATACAGGCATGGATATCTCGAACTCTCCATCCTCCTGCTACCACATCCAGTTTATGCAGTGCTAGGGATGGATCCTAGAGCTTTGTGCATGCTAGGCAAGCACTCTACCAACTGAGCTATACTCTCAGCCATTCTTTGACATTCTTACAGGCTGGGCCCCAGTTAGAGAGCACTGGGGCAAATTGTCTTTACAAGGAGTTGCTTGGGCTGGGTGTTTAGTACATGTCTTTAATCCTAGTAGTTGGGAGGCTGAGTTCAAGGCCAACCTTGGTCCATTTAGTGAGTTCCAAGGACAGACAGGGCTAAACAGAGAAACTCTGTCAAAACAGAAAGAATTAATTTGTCTTGACTTTCTAGACCAAGGTTTGAGGAGTACTTTTTTTTTGGGGGGGGGTTGTTTTATTTTT